GTGGCAGGGGGTTGGAGATTCATGATCCTTGAGGTCCCTTCCAACGCTGGCCATTCTGTGATTCTGTGTTGATGCCCTATGAGGGTAACTTCAGAAACACTACAGAAGTAACAGAAGCATTGCTTAGATACTCTTGTTAGATAGAAGTGTAGAACTAAAGAGAGCCCAATCTGAAAGAGAAAATGAAAATACAACAGTAATCCTGTACGTGGGCCTTGCTTGGCTCACAAAGAAATCTGTAGTGAGACTATCTTCCAATATCACATCAACTGCAGGGGAGGGCATTTCCCAGAATAACTTCTCATCTTCACATGACAGCACAACAGCTCACTGTGACCTCCAGCTCAATGATACCGTTATGGACACGTCACTCATGGGACTGTCACATCTATTCTGCTATGATACATTTTTGTAGCCTGAGAACTATTTTTCATAACAATGTATGGAAAAAATATAGCAAAATATTTGAGCGTATGGCATTGCCATGCTCTACTCTTACTGGCTTTGTGCAAGGGGTCTATCCTCTGCCTAAATGCTTTAAGTAAAAGCACAGGTCCTGCCTGTCAGGCAGTACTTTCAAGGCACACACACACACTGTGTGAAGAGGAACCACAGTGGTGATAACCCAAATCTGCCCTTGTAGAAAATTACAACTTTGAGTCCCAGAAGCAGTGTTGTTTGTATCACTGTATTGAAGCTGAGTAACACCAAACTCGATTCTGCAACCAGACCAGATTGGCAGATAAATTCACCATCTTATTCATGATCTTTTCTCAGCTGCTTTGTACCACTGGGCATGGCATCCACACAGCATCCGTATCTAACTTCAAATCTTTCCCAGAGGAGGGCCTTGGTTACCACAGAAATGCAAATGACTGTGCCCACAAATCTGCCTTGAAAAAATGCCCTTTCAGATGAAGGTATCAGTTGCAACAACTTTACCTTTCTGTTATTCACTTATCTTTCCTGTAAGCAGTCATGCAGGAGTGACAGCAATGTTTTGTTCCCTTAAAACAGCACCTTTCTGAGAATGTCAACGTGCTCTATGAGGAATAATGACTTATGTCTCACACCTGTGCTGGGTAATAACTGCTTTATCTCAGTTTCAACGAGGAGGAGGCAGGAGGTCAGTGATTTGCTCAAGGACATACAGGAAGTCTGATGGACCCATGACTCTCAGCTGTCTTTCTCACTGTCCTCCTACTCCATAAACACTGAGAACTGGAGAGAGGCAGAGCTCAGAAAAAATAACCAATATAAAACCTATGAAGTATCAACACCTAGCGAGATAGCTGCCAACTGTCCATTAATGTAGAGCTGTAAGTCCAGTAAATCTCACTTCTTTTATGGACTTGCTGAACAACCACCTAATCACAAATCAAATGTTTCTTTAGCAAAAGGCAACAAAGCCAAAATGGACAAGTTCAGCTTTTTTATCATTTTCATGCTATAGTTCATAAGGTAGCAATGATGGCCAGACAGATTTTGAAAGGCTGGTCGTGACAATTTAAGAATCAGTATGGCAACAGAAAGACATACAGCTCTGGAGTTTGCATTTAAAACTACACGGCTCTAGAAGTGGAAAAAATTTAAGTCTTCCATAATTAAGAGTGCTGATTTATTATTGTCAGATTTAGTATTTGAACACAGGTTAATCTGCATGCAGGTGAATATTTAGTACAACAAATTCCCAGAAAAGTGCTCACCAGCCTTAAAATAATACAGCTTTCTCTTCAATATTTCGCTGAACAATGATCCTGCTAAAGACCGAGTTGCACTGATCTTTTAATAATTTTGGAGTTGCAATAAAAAGAGATGAAATTTCAACAGCAGGTACCAATGCCAGACGTGGCTCCTGACAGAAGGAAAAACCTTTGTCCCTTTGTCTTGGGATTCTTATTTTTCATGCAACGTTACAAGTAATGCTGTAGGACCAACCACACCTGGGGGCATTGCAATCATGGTTATCGTTGTTACAATTTGTCACTGATGTCTAGGGTCACCACTATTCAAAACCCCTCTTACCTTGACTGCGTAGTTGTTGAGAGGATCTTTTGCATAAGAAGCCGGGTAGTAAACTGCATCACCTGCCTCACAGCATGGCTTGTCGCTGGTGAGCCTGAAATCCGACCAGCTGTCTACTCCAAATCGCAGCTGGTCTTTTTGTCCGGCCATGAACAAATCTTCACATTTAAGTGCCAGCTTCTTCAGCGAATCGGTGTGAAGGTTTCGGATTTTACCTACCACTTCTTCTCGATTTTCAATTCCTCGATAAAGTGCTTGCCTCTGTGGCTTCTGGACACCTCTGCTCTGCTTAGACTGCGAGATACGTCTCCCCGTCAGAGACTCCATGCTATTGGAACAGCGGTCCTTAATACTGATAGTGGTTAGGCTGGAAACACTGTTAGTTGCTGAGGTGGTTGTCCTTAACTTTTCCGTAGGTCTGTCCAAGGAATCTCCCGACTCGTTGTCCAGCGCCTTGAGCTCCAAGCTGACCGAGGAGCAGGCGCTGCTCGCCTCCCAGTTGGTGTCAATGTCATAGGTGGGATTGGCCACAATGCACAGATTGTTCTCGAGAGCTTGCTTCTGGAGATCTCTGGGACTGGGCTCTGTGTTAGCTCTCAAAATCGTCTTTTTCGGCAGTGGAGGTGGTGTTGGCTGTAAGTTGTTCAGTGCCTCCTGCTCTACTATTCCTCCAAAGGCAATGGCATCGTCCAAAGCTCCCTTCGGCTGCCTTGGCTGTTTTGGAGGTATCATGGCTGCCCTGGACTGTCCTGTGAGATAAGAAAATAACAGTAACTCAAGATTAAAGTGCTTTGCATCTGCTGCTCATATTTGCACTTTGCGAACAAGTTTAAGAAGGGAAAAGAAAGAAGCTGACTAGAACCCCCTCCTCCCATTTGGACAATAGCTGCATACATACCTGAACTAATGAGAAAGCAAAAGGACTAAGTCAGCACCGTGCATCTATTATCACATACAGCCAGTCTTTCTTTGACCTTGGCATGTGTATTAAAATCAGTTCCAGTGCTGACAGTGCTTGCATTTTACATCACGTAGCACCAATTACAAAATGTGCAAGCAAAACCCAAAAATGAGTTTTGGCACTCTGGCCAATTTCAGCTTCAGTCATTACGCTCAGGCTCCCTCAGTTCCGTCTGCAGCCAAACATCTGTAATGGGATCCTTTACTTCCTATTCCGATGGACTGAAGCGAGGGGTGGGTGCTGCTGAGTGGCTCTGTGTACTATTTCTGTGAAGGTACATTTCTCTAGAAAGCGAGGTGATCTTTTTTATATATCCTCATAACAGTTTCTAAGGAACTCGATCGCTTTGATATGAAATGTGCTAAAGGGGCTGAAAGCATTGTTTCACAAGGTGGAACAGAGCAATTCCCAGACAAACACTGTAATGTAACAGCTTCAGCAGATGTGTCAGAGAGGTAAGATTGCTCTAGCAGACGCGTTAGTTGAAAACAAGGAAGTTGCACCTCCTTTCACAGAGGTTGACAAGCATGTTGCTACTGGTTTCAGAGAGAGCAGGATCATAGTTTGATATTACAAAACCATAAATATCTTTTACCCACCAATTTAGAAAAGCCACCCATCCCCACCCAGACTGTTCTCAAATAGGCTTCCTTTCCTGACTGGCCACAGGCCCCCTTGCTGGCAATACTGAGTTCACAGACACCCTGACAGAGATTCAGTCCAGAGATTCCACACAGCAGTTTCATGTACCAATGCATGGGATTTCCACAGAGAGACCAGTTTGAAGGTGCGTGCTTCCAGAGAAGATAAGCTGCTGCTGCTGTGTTTTGGATGGATTTTGGAGTGGATAATTATGTTTAATAACTGCCAGAGTTCTTGGAAATAAAGAATAACTGACACCGATACAAGAGAAGTAAATCAAAACCAACAAACCAACCAACAGCTCAACAGACCAATGAATGATCAACTTGCTGCTGCTTGGGACAATTGAACAGTTGTCACTCAGATCAAAATGAGACTTTTCCCCTCTTAATAGTCAACTGTTGTTTTCAGAAGAATTATTCCATACGTTTTCTCCTGCTGCTATGAGGATCACTGACAATCACAGTGAGGTGGGGAGCTGATATCTACAGCTGTAGCACAGCAGCCATGAAACACGACTGTGCACTGCAGAATTTCGGCTGAGCATCTTTACCAAGAAGGGAACAGCCCATAGAAATATGTTTGACTGCCCTGGTAAGATATGGTACGTGCTGAATCCTTAAAGAGAGAACCATATCCACAAACAGAACAGTCTTGAGCCTTCAATTTCTAACATTCATTCTCTTTTCAGTCATTCCAAGGAGACATCAGAAACGACAGTCATATCTCTATCTTTTGTTTAAGCTCAAGAAACCCCCAGAGAAGCCAGATGGATTTTGTGATAAGCCTGGATATTCCAATGTTTACAAACTGCATCTTGAGCAGGAAATTCTGTTAACTTGGTATTTGCATTGGTTGTGGATCTTTTCAGCCTGACTGTCAGGAAAAATTGCATAGGACTGCTCCCGTGGGAACAGCTCCCGCTTTTTAGCTCACATATAATAAAATGTTCAAAGGCTGGAAAGACTGGAGAATCCCTGTGTATCTCTCTCAAACCATCGTGAAGGTCACTTAAAAAAAAAATTAACACTCGGGATCCTCTGCTGCTCCTTTCTGACCTTTGTACTGCAGTGTGTGTGCCCTACACAGCCTGCTCCCCTCGCCCTCCTCAGCCCCTAACACTGCTGCCAGCTGAGCAGGAAAGAAACTGCATCAGAAATGCAGTTTTTGTGAGGAGTGCCATGATTCACAGTCGGAAGCAGAGCTGATATCTGCGTGCCGGAATCACACATCCAAATGCACAACACTGAGACAAGTTCACTTCTACTTGGGGTCCATTTTTCTTGCTGATTCAAACACATCGTCTTATGCAGCAGTTCTTTGCTCTTACCAAATCTGTGCCCTCTGTCCTCCCACTGACATTCTGTATCACAGATCACTTCTGTTTTATGACTGTTGACCTCTACCCCACTATGCTAAAATAGATTATTTGGTGGGTTTGGACAAAGGCTGTTATTCCAGGAGGCAATTTCCTAATTTGCCTTGTCCGTGTGACTCCTAAGCTTGCACCAGTGAGAAAACAAATCAGAGTGGCAGCAGCTGAAACCCTCTCCAAGAAAGGTAAGATTTATAAGTGTTTCTTCCTGACTCTGTATTTCCTGCCTGCTTTAATGGCCCTGTCCTACAAAAGCCATTCATACAGAGGATTGCTGCCACTGCAACCACTGACTTTCACTGCTAGCAGCTTCTGTACAGCTTTTGGAGCTCACATAAAAACATAACCAGAGGAGCTTTTATAACCAGAAATCAACCTTTCAGATGTCTGGTAGGGTAGCAGGATCCAGAGAACTGCAAGAACAAGTCATTATGTAGTTTCTTTTTCAAGTATTCCCAACTCAGGAAAATGAGTTTGTGAAGCATGCCATGTTTCAGTGTAGCTCCTCACCACAAGAACCAGTTTTCCATACTGAAAGCTATCCATGCAGGTTAAGTGCCTGACAAACACTACCTGGCCTGCTTTTATGCTGACTTCTTAACGCAGGGCATTACTTTCATGCCCAGATGGCCAGGCCTTCCAGCTCAGCCTTTCCCAAGCATGGCATGGATACAGCACGCACATTCTTTACATCATTGCCTGGGAAGAAAAACTTTGTCTTCAGTTTTGTTCCTGCTTGAAGGCACAAGAACATTCTTTTGCACACAAGTACTGGCAAAGCATTTGCTTTTTTTCTTGCCTACCACTTCGTTCTCCCCTTGAATGCTTCACTCAGCTTCCTCAACTACTGCACAGACTCTCCAACCTTACGACCCTGCAAGATGAAAGGAGGAACAGGCACAATATCAAGCTACCACTTAAAGATCTCTCAAGTGGCTTCTAGACTGTTCAGAGGCTGAAAAAAAATTAACTCTTTACAGACAGCAGCTTTATGGAGAGCTTTAAGTAGTTCTACAGTACAAAATCTTCCCCTGCAGAATCTTACTACACAATTTAAAAGTTAACGCAAATTAAAAAATTACAAATTAAATATTAATTAATAGTCTCTGGACACTATGCAGAGGTATGAAATTCTAAATCAGCCCTAAAACAGATTTTACTTTATTTTTCTGGGTAACTGATTTATCATTCTTACAGAATTTTCACATTTTGCATGGCCAAGAAAAGCAAGCATGAATAATCACACACAGACAACATGGGGAACCAACCTTCCAAGACAAAATCTATCAAAATCCCAGCAGAACTAAAGCGAAATCCATGGATCCTGTACTCTAGAGACCAGAGAGGGAGAGGAATTTTTGAGTGGCTCCTTATGTGCCTGCAGGGAACCTGAGACAGGGCTGGGCAGACCGCATGGCTGCATCGTAACACCTCATCAATAGTTTGAGACTGCACACAACAACTCAGTAGTGATGGCTTGGCTGCTGTCATGGCAGCTGAGGGTTAAAAATGAGATACACATAACCTCTCTACTCTGATTGAAGTTTCCTCCTATTGATACACCCAGCAACACCCTGAGCTCTTCTACACCATCACTGTGGTGGGATCTTTTATTTCCTAAAAAATCCCAAGTCTGTTATGTTGTATCCAATTCCCAGAAGACAATCCCCTATCTTGCAAGGCTTTCCTGCGTTGTTTTAATTCCTTTAATTTACACGTTAGATGAAGTAACAGCTACAACTTGCATTTTATTTTACTTCTATGCCTTGTATAGCTCTGGCTTGTATTTATAAATGAGCTTTGTCAAGCTTTGCATCTGCAGTTCAGTACCTGACAGATAATTGCTCGCAGGCAGGACTGCAAACTGCTGATGGGACAACTGCTGTGAGAGAAGTGGAGGGCCAGAACCAAATGTATTTGAGGACAGTATTACTGTCAACTATGACCTCACTGCAGATGAAAATTTACCAATCCTGCTGTTATTTCAGTTCCTAAAATTTCATGTAACATGTCACAAGAGAAGACGAGACACTTATCAAAGTAAGGATGTGATATTGTTTGCTTTTCCATAAAAAAGAAAGAGCGTGTATTACAATAGTATTTAAAAAGGCAAACTTGTGCATTATGTTGCAAATTGCTATGTTCATTGCTGTAGCAAATTGCTGTGTGTTTTCCAAACTCCGACACAGACTGCAGTTCGTAACCATAAAAAGGTAACTGTAGATACAATTGCAGCTGAAACAAAAGCAAGCATAATTTAACTCAATTATCTTACATATTTCCTTATTATCCTATCTCTCATTTACACACGTTGGTATTTGTTAACTCCACAAAATATACGATTTTGCTGCTGGGGTGGTGGAAGAGTGCAAACAAGCAGGAGTTGCTCTGTGCCCTTACCTACTCATCCTGTGATGACTGTCTGAATTCTGGTGAAGCCGCTCGAATAAACCAGGAAAAAGCTTGAACTGCAGCCAGAGAACACAGTGCCATTTAGGGTAGCATTGCTTTTAACAACTAGCAGCAAGCTTGCCAAGCCAGGCTAAGTCAAGCCTACAAGTTACTTTAACTCTTTCATATCTAAAATTTACTCTGGTGAAGCTGGATGTGACCTGAGGATAAGATTTGGAATGAAATGCTCATCTCCTTCCTTCTCAGAGACCTCCTGAACCTGGTGGGTTTTGTGCATGTCCACAGATGAATGTTCCACAGTTTCTCTGGGCAACCTGTTTCAGAGTTTCATGATGTTTTATAATCGCATTTCACACGAGTTTACTGCTCTCACTTTGTGAGATGCTGTGGGAAGAAAAGAGGCCTACAAACAAAAGCACTTCTAACCGCCATCAGGCCTAACAGCTTGCAGAAGTGAACTCAATTGAGTAAAGATTTAAATAAAAGAATCACAATGACACTACTTTGGATATGAAATGCTCCTCTTCGCTGTAGGAGCACTATGGCTACAAAACAGCGACCTCCTCGTGAGCAGTGCTATTTCATGCATTAAATGTTACAGTAGGCTTCATCCTTTTATATGTTGGTCTGGTTAGGATTATGGGCTAACCTGCCATCAGCAGTTTTATGTAGGTAGATTTACTGTCTAGACCATCTCTGTAATGTATTTATGTCCTAAATATGGAAAACATATTGATGCTGACCTATACCAATATACTATATATACTATATCAATGAATGGAAAGTAATTAATTAGGTCTTTGGATAATTCCACCATAAAAATCTAAATTTCAGTTGCTCTTGAATTACAGGTTCTTGGTAGATGTTGCTATCATTCTTTGGCAGGGTATTTTCCTCTTTCTGCTTCATAAACAGTAAATTTAAATTTAATTATGGTTTATTTTAAGAACAGGCAATCTCAGCCCCAAATTCGCATTTCAGCAAAAATATGCAACAATATTGCTAAATATTGAAGAAATGTATGCACCTGATGGTTTAAAACTTTGGTCCCCAATCCCTCAAACATGTATGGACATGCCAAAGTCTTGTATGCCTGAGCCATCTCAGTGCAGTCAGTTTGTTCTTGTATTTACATATTCCTAAAAATAAGCAAATGAGGGATTTTTGCTCTTCTAGAAAGCTGGCTCCAGGTACTCCTAAATTCACAGTACTCCAAACCAAAACACTTTAGAAAGGTGCATCATATTGTTACTGTGCTTTGGAGGATGCTTATTTGCCTTCCATAGAAGCCCTGTGTACTTGCAGTTTTTAATATAACTCAGGAACTCAGTGGTAGCTGAGCCAATGGTGCAGTATTTTCAGGATATTCCTACTTCACATTTATACAAAAGAACAGAGATAAACTCTCAAACTGGGATAAGAAAGGCCCTAGTCAACAAAAGATGACTGCAGATGTTTCAGCAGTTAGTGATGCTGTAAAATAAAGGGTCCTCTCTTCTGCTAAAGTTTGGAAAAGCACTGAAATTAATTAATGTTTTCAAAACATTGATAATTTAATCTGTATATTAAGGCTCTTTGATAAAATTCCTCCAAATAGATCATAGAATGGCCTGGGTTGAAAAGGACCACAGTGATCATTTGGTTCCAACCCCCTGCTATGTGCAGGGTCACCAACCAGCAGCCCAGGCTGCCCAGAGCCACATCCAGCCTGGCCTTGAATGCCTGCAGGGATGGGGCATCCACAGCCTCCTTGGGCAACCTGTTCCAGTGCCTCACCACCCTCTGGGTGAAAAACTTCCTCCTAATATCCAACCTAAACCTCCTCTGTCTCAGTTTGACCGTTCCTCCTTGTCCTATCACTATCCACCCTCATAAGCAGCCATTCCCCCTCCTGTTTATACACTCCCTTCAAACACTGGAAGGCCACAGTGAGGTCTCCCAGGAGCCTTCTCTTCTCCAAGCCAAAACAATGTGTCTTTGAAAAGCATCTCTGAGACATTCTTAGAGCCTCTCTGAGACCTAGTAGAATCATAGGAGAGAAAGCCTTTGTGTTTGTTCAGTCTTTACTTTCCTGGCTGTATCCCACAGAAAGAGGCAAGATAATTTAAACTTCTTTAAATAGAAATTACAAGTGTATCCTTAGGAAACAGCTTCATGAAAGCGTATTAAGTAACTTGAAAGACAAAGTGAAGCACACACGCACTTGGATCTAACTCTTATTTTCCTCTGTAAGTATGCACTTACCTAAATTGCTGTACGTAGCACTGCAAGGATTCAAGTCAGAAGGATGTGGAGCTTCTTCTTTGTCTTCCTCCCCCTGCGGGGCACGGACAGCTGACACTGGTATGACCGAAGCACTGCCACCATTGTCCTGCTTCACAAACACGGCTCTTGGGACACGGGGGGACAAGTCCTCCAGCGTGGTATCATCGGGCACTTGACTGAAAGAAACAGAACAAAATCATTTGGAGACCAGGGCCAGACCCTAATGGCAAAACATCAGAACGTGCATTACATATAAAGGGAAGGAAATTAAGAAATAAGCTCCTTTTGCCCAACTCTTCTTTTAAGAATAACTTTCTAAAATGCTTATTTTTTTCTTACTAAGGTGAAACAACTTTTGACTCAAATAGTAAACATAATTCCCACCTTTCATACAAAACAGATAATGAAATGTTTTACAGCTGACTACAATCAGCACATGTATGCAGGAATGACTCTGCATAAAGGGTGTGGGACTCATACAACAGTGCCTTTTACCAGTTAGAATAATTTTACCTAAACCAAAGATACTGGGGTACAGTGAGGGGGCTGTAAGTATTAATAAATGCACACAACTTTAATAATGCGTTTTCATATACCGATAGGATTTGGGGAACAGGCTTTGGGAAACCTCGCTGTCAATTTCCCATCTAACATTCCCCAGGATTAACATCCATCTTCTCGTGTATCAGGACAGTCACAAAGGCCAGGAAAACATTCCTCTGTGCCTGCTCTTAGCTATGAACTTCTAATCGAATTATGATTACATGTAGCACAGAACTACAAATGTGATGGGTTCAATCAGCTTTCATGGACCTATTTACAGCAATAGGATTTAAAGATTATACATAATATATCAAAAAAAGCACTGTGTTCGGGTTTATTAAACAAACAAGCAGTGCTGTTGAAAATGTGGCAGCAGGTATCAATAACGTGCCAGATAAAAACACGTTGGAGATGGACCAAAATATTTCTGTATTTTTATGCTCTCTCACTCACTGAAACAAATACTGATGATACCAAATCTTCAGAGCCTCTGTCCTACCCACCAGTTCTCGTTATTCCACCCTGACCAAACTGAACAGGAAAAATTTTAAATACTCGTGCCTTCCATAAGGGTGAGGGCTGAGCACCTCCTCCAAAAGATGCACCACAGCATGTAAAAAGGTGTTTAATTTTTATGCCAAACGCAACTTCTGATGAGCAGCAACAAAAAATCTGCTTTTTGAAACAGGCAGAGCAGCTGAGTCTCCATGGTACAAACCCATACAGTGGGAAGGCAGGCTGAACCCTCGAAGAGTTAAGTTAAGAGATAAGCACAGGTCTTCCCATTCTAATCCCAAGCCAAAATACTGAAAATCATGATACACAACCTTCTAGCAATCCCAACCCGACTGCAAAGATTAAAACATGCCAGCAGTTTGCACAACACAAGGCCCCACGGATGGCGCATGCTGTTCTGCCCCCAGCCTCACGAGCTGTAACTGCAGGCGGTTGCAAACAAAACTCATTAGAACTTGTTAGTAAAGAAGGAAATGGCACCACTTCAAACAGCTGCAGCCTTGAACCAGCGTTGAAAATTTTGTTCATTTTTAGTACCGTGCATAGCAATGGTGTGAAGGACATTCCACGTGCCCTGAACAGATCCACACGAAAGAGTTAACCTACGGTAATACCGGAGCAGAGCGCATGTGAAATTAAAGCAGTGAAAAGGCTCTTAAGATGATGAGAATTAAACTAAAGACCTACTCAGGTAGTTGCTGCGAATTGCATACATACCCGCGTTGCTCAGTAAGGAAGTTTTCTTTCAGAAGGAAGAGTTTCTAAGAGCTCTGCCATGGCCGCCCAGCAGTGCTAGCACGGCTCCAAGTCACGGCTTAGTATCCACTGGTGTGGTACAGAGCAGACTCATTCTCCATACCAGACACATGCAAGCACATACGCTAAACCTAAGCTCAAAAGCATTCTGCCAAACAACGTAAACCAACAGCGCCAAGGAAGAAAGAAAAAAAAAAACCAACTCACCCACTGTACTCACTCACACAATTCCCCATTAAAGGAAATTCTTTCAGGGCCTTCTTGAGTCTTTTAATCATGTCTTGAAACTCTGGCGAGCCATTGATTCCACAGTGTTCTGATGCGCTACAAGTTGTGCAAGCTGTGAGCAACAGGCTGAACTCTGCACAGAGTGATACACCTACTGCACCTTCATGTTTACCTTCGGGGGTTGGCCCAGGGACTTGCCAGAGCGCCCCAGGAGAGCACTGAGTTACAGCCCTGCCTTCTTAACTCTTCCACTGCTTCCGTGCATGGAAAGCAGGTCACAAGCTACTGCATCAGGGTTTTGGTATGACAGCTATGGTCTTAGTCATGTTAATTAGCTAAGGAAAAGCAGGTTCGGATTTCAGCCGGGGTCTGAAGAACTGAGGCGAGCCCACTGTTAAAAGTAAGTGAACATCCTGAGCTGGTATTCCAACCCATTTCAGTGTCCGAACCAAATACACGCTGAATTGCAGCAAGGAGATGTCAGCCATGAAATCTGTGAGGAAATGTTTCCCTGCAACTCAACAGTAGTGAGAGAGAGATCCTGAGAGATGAAGCATACGTATGCTGACTCAATGAGCAAAAAGCCAGCCTGTAATCATCTCTGTCCTCACACAGGGGGAACAAAAGGGGAAAACCTCCTCGCTCATTACACTACAAGAACCAAAGGCACGATTGCTTTTGCTTCGTGCAGTTGTCTAAACAGTTAAAAATACATTAGTGCCCAAGAAAAGTAGAGCAGAGTGTCTGATAAACAAACTGTTCTTTGAGATCAGAACCATTAAAGCCTGATTTTTTTATAAATTCATGTATTCTTGTTGACTGCCAGTGATACTGAAAGCTATCCCCTTATTTGGGATATTTATAGATATTTTGCCAGGGTGGATTCTTTGATGCCTTGCGTAAGAGCACACATTTAGCTTCTGCCATAGAGGGTGCAGTCTCCCCTGTCCGAGCCTTTTACTGTTCCCTGCTTTATTTCAGAAACAAACTTCACAGGAAATGAATGACTTCCCTTAGGGAGCCCTGCTCCTCAGGCACACAGGGCAGAAACCACACGATTCTGTTCACGGAGGGAGGAGCCCTCCATACACAGCCAGCACGTGTTTTCTCAACAAGCTGAAATTACGCATGGCAAAAAAGCTTGACATAGCAATGACTGTCCTTCAGATAACACACTACTGAAAGCATATACTTGAGATTTGCACGTGTACAAGCTCAAAAGTGTTTTAAAAGCAGCTTCCTGCGGGGTCAAATGCCTCCACTTCTTCCCTCAGCTTATCCTGCTCTATAGTTTCTGTAAGATGATGTGGCCTAACCTGCCTCTGTCTCCTGAGAACAGGCAATGTGTTATTTTTTATAAGGACAGTGGCACCACAGCTACTGTGTGACCCAGATTTTGCTCTGCTCGATGCATGCCTTCTCCATCAGTGATTAATAAACAGCAATGGACACGAGGCAGAAAAAGAAGTGAGTGATTCTGGAAGTGTACTCATGGGCCTGGGTCAGATCTAAAGGTCAAACTGAGGGACAGCAGTCCTGCATAATGCAGGCCTTGTGTCCGAGCGGCAGAAATTAGTGACAGAAGCACAGCAAAGAGTTGACGTGGCCCTGTGCTCAGCTCAGACTCCAATTATTTTGGTGTCCACTCCTCCCCAGTGGATATCAGCAAAGCAATAATCCACTGCGCTCACACAGTTTGAGATGAGAGAGCCTGACGAAAAAGATTACTTAATTTTACACAAAAAACCTGAGAACTTGTAGATACATTTAGTTTCAAGGAGATCCTTGGGAGACCCCGTCAGACCTTAGCAGTTTTCAGCTAACTAAGCCAAATCAAATCCTAAACGCACTGATTAATGCTTGAGGAAAAATGCACAGAGGTTAATGGTTTGGAGGTGGTCAAAGGCCAACTTACACCGAAACCTCCATCCCAAGCACATACCACGTTATCTCTGCAAATCACAGTTCTCTGTGGGTACAGAAAATCCCTTCCAGTGCCTCGTGCACTTCAGTTTCCATCACTGCCATGTGGCAGCCACAGTCACTTCAGAGGGAGGCGAAGGAAGCTTTACAGCTGGCAATCCGCGACAGCCGAGCCATAGAGTTTATTCCCAGTTCTTATTGTTTACAAGTTAGCTTATTCCTGAAGCATGACAATTGGTACTCATTTATTATTGTTTTTAAAAGTCTTTGTAATGCAATGTTTGCATGGATAATGGGAATGCATTTCCTAATCCAGCAGAGACGTCCTGCTAAGCTCTTCAGTGTCAGTGAAACTTAATGGCAATGAGTTCCACAGATTAACTGTGCATAACGAAAATCACTTTTCTTTGGCCATTTTTACGTCTTCAGTCTTCCCATTTTACAGATTGCATTAGAGGAGTTAAGAATTTTCCATTTATTAATCAAAATTTGTAAAATAATGAATGATAATCATAGAATGGCTTAAGGGACCTTAAAGATCACCCAGCAGCAAACCCCTTGCCATGGGCAGGGTTGCCAACCACTAGACCAGGCTGCCCAGGATCCCACCCAACCTGGCTCTGAATGGCTCCAGAGATGGGGCACCCACAGCTCTCTTGGCAACCTGATCCAGTGCCTCACCGTCCCCTGAATAAAAAAATTTCTTCCTAACATCTAACCTAAATCTATCCTCTTTTAGCTCAAAGTAATCCCCTCTTATCCTATCACCATCAGACCATGTAAAAAGTTGGTCTCCTTGCTGCTTGTGAGCTCCCTTCAAGTACTGGAAGGCCTCAATGAGGTCTCCTGGAGCCTTCTCTTTTCCAAGCTAAGCAAACAGGTCACTCAACTCTTCTTCATAGGGGAGGTGCTCCAGCCCTCTGATCATCTTTGTGGCCTTCCTCTGGACCCACTCCAACAGCTCCACATCCCACTTGTGCTGGGGGTCCCAGGTCTGCACACAGCACTCCATTGGGGCCTCACAAGGGTAGAGTATAGGAAAACAATTCCCTGCCTTGCACTGCTGCCCACTCTTCTGCTGGCCTTCAAGGTTGCGAGAGCACACTGCTGGCTCACATCCATCAGGACCCCCAAGTCCTTCTCAGCAGTGCTTCTCTCAATGAGTTTTTCTCCCAGTCTGTACTCATATTTGGGATTGTCTCGACCCAAGCACAACACCTTACACTTGGCCTTGTTAAACCTCACATGGACCCACTTTTCAAGCCTATCCAGGCCCCTCTGGATGACATCCCATCCTCCCGTTGTGTCAGCTGCACCGCACAGCTTGGTGCCATCAGCAAAAGGTTTTGGATTCATGTGACAGCCTTTCCTTAACACCAGTGCAAGCAGTCCTGTAAAATGGGGAAGAAGTCCTCTCAAGTTTTAATTACAGACCTACTGTGGTTTTAAAATTGTGTTTTCTACTAGGGTGGTTTCAGAACCACCTGTGGAATCTGCAGGACGGGATCAATGACAATGAGAAAATGGGATGTGATAATGGTGATTAATCCTGCCTATCTCTGGACCTACATTTTTGAAGACCAGCAACTCCAATTGTGCTTTTACTGTGTAATCTGTTACATTTCCTGGCTCCTGACCCACTAAGTCAAGCGAGTCTGTGTGTAAGCTCTATTCCTATGCTGTTCAGCTTCACAAAGTCCAGGGCACGGATGATGCGTGCTATGGCACAGCCTACCACCCCAGTTACTTTTATTTTTTTCCTTACTTAACAGTGATGTAACAAAAGCAGCTAAAAATCTATGGCACAGCAAACCCACACAGGGCCCTTTAAGTCCTGGCGATCCAAATTACCTCATTAGAGTTGTCCTTCTCAGCTACCTAAATGTGGAAATTTGATTCCTAATTCAGGTTGCTGGTGTAACGCTGGCTTACTGTAATTTACAGCAAACAGTTTGAACAGTATTCAGCAACCTCAAGACAATCAACACATCAAAAAGCATCTAAGGATCAGTCATTGTCCTCTGATACCCACAGAACTCATTAAAATGCCCCGTAAAATTCCCACAGGCTATTTTTTGACGAATATAGCCTTAAAGAAACCCAAATTGTCGACGTAGAAATATGCTTTTTAAGGAAAACGTTCAAAACAAATCTTCAAAACATACACAACCGTGGACACTATGGGCATTTCACTCATTTCAAAAGGTGTAACAACGGTAGGGCTCAGGAGTGACTTGTGGCTGTGAAAGGAAACTGCTCAGCTTAATACAGAACTGGAATGGAAATGGCTGCACACAATTCACCTGTACCTTGATTTACAAGATGCTGCAATCTACAAACAGGGCTGAACGATTTTAGTTCAGTTCTGATGTGGTTTATGAAGATGGGAAAGGAAGAATCAGAAGGCAGAGGTGCAGTTTTCTTCCAGGAAATGGCTCAATCTAAAAAGCTGCTACTGGGCGTGAGCAATGATCCCTCAATGAGAGAAGAAACTTTATCTTGGGAAACCCCCACAGCAAGGTGCTGATCCGTTAGATAACCAAGCCTTTGAAGAAGCAGAAAGATGGCTTTGTTTTGTTTTTTAAACTTCAGTGTGGATTCCACCTCCATCGCTTACAATGGCTTAGGCCACAGATGTTGTCCTGTTATCCTTTTTGAGGCCAGCGTTAGCTTTTGCCTGAGAACATCTGCTGCACACACACACACCAAGGCCCCACAAGAGGTCTGGGAACACCTGGTTTCCATTCCATTACAATGTGGCTGATGTGATTGCTGATTTTCAGCAAAATCTCATCCACCTACAGTTTTTTGGCGTAAGGATTACATTAGCATTTGCCTTCTCCTTTGGAACCACCCTATATGCAGCCTGGCTTGAAACAGAAAAACCACCACAAGGATAAAATCATACCAAGTTCTTTCATATAATTTTCCCAAACAACCATGTATTTTGTCAATGCTGTTCAAAGGATGAAATGACTTTTCTTGGTGATAACTTTAAATACCTCTAGACAGCCCTGCTTTGTGGTTATCTTATCAATCTCTACCAGCTTTGTAATCCATTGAAAAGTAAGGAAATATTGTGCATTTATTTAATTTGCTTTCAAGACCCCCCAGTAATTTGACATTTTAAAAGCTTATCTTATTTTTCAGGTCATCTGTTTGTTTCTTTAGTGACTTCACTGTTGTTGGCATTCTCAGAAACATGTCACGTTTGTTGAATGCTATCTTCCTATCTTCCATTTCCTTCTAAGCTTCTGCAAGCTTAACCAAAAATCTTAAATCCCTTTTCCAAGCACACATCTTGGCCTGAATTAGCACTAACCTTTCATAAACATCTGGTGAATTAACACAAAACAAGTACAGCATCATCTTAAAGACTCCTGTTTGTGTGAAAATGGAAGTTGACAACCCTGATCCTTACCTACTAGAATATTAAAAAGAAAAGTCAAAACTCTTAAAATGGAATTCCTTATTTTTTTGGCAGTATTAGGTTTCTCTGTCTGTAGCAGTATTAAAAATTCATCAAGCTAACAAAAAAAAAAAACAAAACTGAAAACAAAGACATCCTCTGTTCTAACCATTGCAGCACTTCAGTGTGCTTCCTTTTTGAAACCACAGAACAGTGTCATTAGAAAGGAGACATTTCAATTCTAACGCTTGGAAAATTCTGACGGCCACCAGGGACAATTGCTTTTTGCCTGTATCATCATGGCTTGCAGAAAAATGAGAAGCAATAATACTTTTGGAATAAGACAGGACGGAATGACCACCTGCCTTCAATAGCATGGGTCCAAGGGACTCCAGTGAGCGCAAAAGCACAGAACAGGAGAACAGCACCATCTCTAGGGTAGTCTAAGAACAAGTGCCAGCAGTGCGTGCAGCCTGTAGACTTCTACTGCAGGTTACCCCTGAGATAAGCATATTCTCCTTGGATCATCTCCCCAGTCTGCTCACCAGAACTGAGCACGCAAACTATTTTGGTGGCACAGGGAAGGGAGTGAACCTCCTGATGGCAGTGTATTTGGCAGTGCTGCTGACATGATACAGACACACAGCCACCTCCACCAGAAGAGAATGGAAAATATGGCTTCCCCTAAAGGGATCACTGAGGGCACAAACCTCTCCGATGCAACTGCTTCTCTAAACTGGTTCTCATTTCTCCCCATTTAATTGAAAGTAGATTCGACTCCTGTGAAGTGTTATTCCAGCCTGGGTCTGTTCCCCATTGTCTTCTGCCTTAAGCTACAGCATGCACTGCATTTGGGTTAACTGCTTCAAATTCAAATCTACCAAATCCATCCTATGCTAAACTTTATCACCACCTTACATTACAAACCCCAAAGCTTTCCAGGTCTGACCAAAGGCAAGCAATCTGAAAAGCAGTGCTGCCCTCCATGAGGACATATAGCTCTTCCCAATTGTGATCTAAAAAGATTTAACTCTGCTTGATGCAATGGTCACTCCTGGTCAGTTAAGACTTATTTCACTTCAAGGCAAACAACAAACAGCTTATAGCAAGCTGAAGTAAACTACGCTCACACAGGGACTTCCGTTAGCTTAAGTCAATTTACAAACCATTTTAAATCTAAAATCACTGTAATTTTCTTTAACAGATAAGGCAGTAAAGGAGGAAAAACCACAAAAAGGTACCGCCATTACACAGTTATTCTGTGAGGTTCACACATGTAAATCACAAAGTTTACAGAACGATCCCTTTCCTGCCATTAGATTATTGCTTCGATGAATAATGCAAACGTGAAGTTATTTTGGAACTGATTTGTATCATCACTAACTTTGGAAGACCTGGCCTAATACATCCATGGCTGCGTTCTGCACTCAGTGAAATGCAAACTACACCCACACGATGGACTGCAACAAACACGTCAAGCATGGCAAAGAAATGTGTGATGTGCTGAAAACAATGAGCATCTGGAAATGTTCTGATCTGTGTCGTGTTCTGACACAGCCAAAGCAGCACGTGTGTCCTTGATAGGGGAATAAACCACAACCTGAGCCATTCAAGTACCAGGAATTTATAGGAGTAAAATAAATAACCTGGCCAAATATTCTCAAACAAAACAAAACATGATGTTAGTAAATAATGATTAAAAAAAATTCAAGAAGAGATCAATCAACAGAATTGCTGGGCAAAGAAGAAGCAGTGGGCTCTGCTGAATGCAACACAGTTGGGGGGCAAAGCGTATTACCTGCTAAAGGCCTTGTCGAAGGCAGAGTGCTTATTTCATAGATAATTTCCTTCTATGATTACTTTTCACATGGCTTATTTCTGGAGCATGGCAGAGATGCTGCAATGTCGTATCAAGTTAATTAGCATCTCTTGTTATCGCGCCTATGTGAGATAAAGTTAGCACACCACCTTTTATGTCTCACAGAGCTTTTATCTCTAATTTTCAATAGCTGTCATCTATTCCTGCAGAGGAATTCTTTAGCTTTTCTACAACGTAAGAACTATTTCTTCAACTAGAAATTCAGGAAAATGTATCAGATCCAATGTAACATGGCAATCACACCGTATTAACAGACCTGCAAACACAAACAGGTACTGTCCCTGGTAATTTTTTTCTTACTGATAACTGACATCATGCAAAGATTTTTAGAATATGCTTTAAGATCCCTGAAACAAATAAGTTTTGAGAAACGTACACAATGTAATAAACCCCCTCATTTCTTCCCTTTTCGCTAGCATACACAGTGCAGTTTACACTGCAAAAAAGAAAGGATGGTTACCTGGGGATTTTCTTCAGGATCTGAGGTGGTGATGGATGGCTCGTTATTTTCTGCTCAGAGCTCTCTGGAGACTTCTCCTGTGTTTCCCCTTTGTCTTTTCCAAGTACATCCGCGATAGCAGACTCCACTCCATTCTTGTATTGATGGTCAACCTTTGGTTCGGCTTGCGTCGGTTCACATCTATACATGAAAACAATCGATGGCTTCTCACTGGAGTCTGATTTTGCCTCGCTGAACCAGTGATGCCGTTGGACCGGAGGAGGGGGGAGCATGTGTATCACAGTTCCATCCAGACCCACCAGTTTCCCTTTCTCTCTTTCTTTCTCTCTGTCTTCCTCGTCATCGGTTTTTCTGCGGCGGAAGAAGCTCTTAAACGATATCCAGCGTTTGGGTTTAGCATCAGCAGCTCGCCGAACCTCGGAGTGCAGGATGGACTCCGCCTCTGTCGACCTGGTGGGACTGTTGGGTTTGGCCCAGTTGCTAAAATGCCTTTGCAGCAGATTACTCGCGTGGTAGGGTGAAGACGTGGACCGCGGAGGAGGGAATGGTGGTGCCTGTTCTGCTTTGGGACTCGTGGTATTCGGGGTGCCTCTCACTGGCTTTGGGGAGTTGGTGGCAACTGGCTGTGCAGCTGTGTCTTTCTGCATTTTAATGGCAGTGCTTTCCGCGGTCTTGGATGACTCTACTTCAGACTGTGATGTAAACAGGGATTTAGGGCGTACAAGGGTGTTTTTAGCAGCATCTGCGTCAGGAGGTAAGGAATACAGCTCTTCTGCACTGCAAGACTTGGGCCCAGCCTGCGGAGTTTCTGGAGGAGACTGCGGAGGCTGGATGGAAGCCACGATCTGTGAAAGCACCGTGCTTGCATTCTCTCTGCTGCTGCTGCCAGTGGGAGCAGAAGCCTCCGGGGTCACATCTGCAGGTTCTTGTGCTGCCTTCTGAATTCTCGATGGGGAGCTGTGGTCAGAGCTGTGACTTCTCTGTGGTGATATCTGACTTTTACCGAGGCAGCTGTTAAACTCTTGCACCTTCTGAGCCACAGAACCGAGTCTACACTCAGTGCTATTCGTCACCCCCTTTGCTTCAGTGGGTTTGCCTCCTGTAGCTTCAGTCATTTTGCTTTCTGTCTCTATTTCTTCGTAAGTGTGACTAATTACACTGGTAGTTTTATCTTTGATAGACAGCTCTCCACTGGTCCCTAGAAAACTTTTGTAGATAGCCAGGTTGTCATATGCATTTGGATTGATTACAATCGGAACTTTAATGGCATTTTTGGAACTCTTAGCATAAGTGGGCTCGTCATGAATGATAATGGGAAAAGGTGGCATGCCGGCATTATTATAGCTGTTGAATTTTATCTCAGATAAATTGGGAGACTTAACTGGGATCGTTTTAGAAGACAGGTTTGTAGCTGTAGGCGAAGTAGGAGCTGACTTGTGGCTTGTCTTCCTGGGAGGAACAGAAGGTCCAGAGCTGTTAGCAACTAACTCCACCTTCGGTATCTTCTGTCTTGGACTAGTGCTAGAAGTCCACACTTCTTGATACCTGATTGCACTGGATTTTTTCAGATTGGCATTGACTCGTGCAGGTGATGCTGCAGAGGATTTAATAGGTGTGCCTGGCGTTACCGGCGAACTTGGGTTAGATGATGTATTTTTGGCTTCTGAGGCTTCAGTCTGACTCTCCTTACATTCATTAGTCATGGCTGCTGATACATCCACTACGGTATATGGCTTGCAAACTGGCTGTTCCATATTCACCACTCTGTAAGGTTTAGCTTGCTCTTCCACAGGCACCAAATTTATAGTTACTGCCTGACCGCTAACATCCGAAGGACTTTTATTCTCTTGTTTATCAGTCTGCACAGCGATTTTGCCATCCTTCTCTTCCAGTCGGAGAGCAAGGACGGCCTTGTGGGTTTCTAGACTCTTTGGAACATTCCTGGAAGCTTTTGACACATCCTTCGCTTGCTGACTATCACAGAGACTTTCATATTCTGGTTCAATCAATTTGATGTCCTGGGGAGTACTAGGAGATAATCCTCCATTACAGAGCTTCTGTGAAGAGCTGCTGGCTGTCCCAGAACGAGACTCTTCTGTCAAAGAAGAATCGGGAGATGTGGAATCAGAAGATACCATGCTCTGCATGCTCTCTTGCCCATACAGAATCACAGTCTCTTCCCCATAACCGTTTAAAATTTCATCGTAGCTGTCGTCGTAATCTACAGCACAGATCCGCTGCAAAGACTTGTTTCTAAGAGGCACGGTATTCCATTTTTTGTCAACGCAGAACTGAACAGGAGATAGAGTGTTAGCTCTAAAATTAGCAAAGCGAGGTTGGCCCCTCATCCGAATTTCCATTGCTAGCAATTCTTCATCACTTTCGTCCCAGCTCTCATGCTCTTCCTGCATGCTGCCAAAAAACGCGTCATCCTCACTCTCGTCTCCGCTAGAGAATTCTGGGTAACAGAAACGTCCGCCTTCATTACTTATGACCTCAGTGCTCCCACTCAGAATAACGTGCTTACCGTGAGAATCCTTCATCCCACCCATCATGCAGCTTGGAGGAATCTTTCTTTCTAACGATCTCTTATAACAGTTATTTATTCTTCCCAAGAAGGTTTCTCTCGAGTTCATTTCACTTCCAGCCAGCTGAGGTGCGGTATCCAAACCTGCGATCTCCTTCAAAACTTCTGTCAGTCCATTATTATTATTATTTGGTATCTTCCCTACCCCATCACTGTTGCCATAAGGCCTAGGAACGTGGCTGTAGCCCTCGATTTCATCTTCATTATTATTGTTCAGTGGTTTTTTGTGCAAGACAGCTTTGTTTCGGTTCCAACCCGCGGGCACCGATTTGTTCTCACAATGATCTGGAGCGCCGATTTCGCCGCACACGCCCTGCCCATCTGCCACCATCATGGTGGGCTTCACAGCTATCGTGGGTTTCTTTGCCACAGGCGGTCGGAAACTCCCCGTGTTTCTGCCACGCTGGCCGTTACTTTGGTTTGCATTGGTTTTCAGATTGTCATGTGAGAGGGTTTTTTTTTCAGACACCGGGGGTAACTGATGCAAGCTTTTTGGCTTAAAGCAGTTCTTACATTCACCAGGTTTCCAGACGTGCTCAGTGAAGGTGTTGCAAGCAGACATTTTCCCAGCACTCTGCGTGTGATGCCGTGCTGTTCAGTGCATGGTAAGAACCTCGGCTGTGTGCTTCCTCTCTTCACCTGGTACGGCTACTGTTGTGAGCAGCGATCATTCTGAAACACCAAAGAGAACGGGGACAAGAATGGGTAAAACAGGTCGGTGAACAACAACTCAAAATAACCCACTGGCCTTTTCATAGAATCACAGAATCACAAGGTTGGAAAGGACCTACGAGATCATCGAGTCCAACTGTCCTCCCATCACCTTTGCTACCACAAGCCACTGAACCGTATCTCGTAGCTCCTCATCCAGAGACCATTTTGCTGGTCTTAGCTCTTTTTACTTAAATGTACAAACCCGCTCAAATGAAATGCAAAAAAAAAAAAACCAACTAGTTGCAATTATCATTCTTCTCAGACATGAAGAATTAAAACTTTGGCAGCTAAGACCTGCATTACACAGAGCAAAGAAAGAGAGAAATGGCAATGACTGAGAACACAGAGTAATTCTCTTGACAAGTTCAGGACCATTGACCTTTATTTTTTACACAATAAATCAAATGCTGGGAAGAGGATATAAAATCAAGGATTAGTGCAAATTGCCTCCAACATAACCGTTTAAATATGGCACAAGAAAGTAATAGTATGCTTTACACTCAAATGCAATTTAGATTGTTTTAGCTTCAAATGTGAATGAGCTCAACTTAAGTGGCAAAATATGTCTGAGCAATTCCAAACTCAGCCATTTTAGCACTTTTTTTCAGCAGAGTTGAATTATAACTGGACAGACGCTTTGTTTGACAAGACAGGCTGGAGTGCTGGGCTGGAAAATCAGATATAAAAACGCTAGGGCAATCTTTCTGGAAAGTCACTGCTTATTCTCCTTCAGCTCGCAACGCTGGCAATAAGATATTCCTACATCCTGCAAACAAAGCTATGGATTTTTAGTCTCCAATTTGTTTCGCACGTAGTTTTTCCACCTAACACCCATCCCTGCCCTCCCCGAAGTAACAACTGAAACACTATTATACATTCATTTCCAAGTGAGTTCTCCTCTTTCTCTGATTTCCTAACATCATTTCCTGACACTCGGCCTTGAGGGAAAACTGAACACAACTGTTCTATTTTACAGCCATTGGAGCATCCTGGCTGCGAGAGTTTATGAATTAATGCCTGAAGACTCAAAGCCCTGAAAGCCAAAGCCACAAGTCTGGTCCCCCCCTCATTGTAGCACAACTCAAACACGATCAGAGACATTTTGTTTTACCGAGGTGAGAGAATGCAGCTCTCTCACAGCCGGTGGCTTTTCAGCAGGCAGCAGGACAGCCGTGCTGCACTCTCCACGGCCACAACTGGTTTCCAGCAGCGCAGCAAACAATGAGAGCCATGTGTCACACCGACACCGGCATGACTTTGCCAGTCTCCTCACGTCACACTGTGATTTGGCACAGGGCTGCCCTGCGGAGCTGAAGGAGCAGTGCAGTTCCAACGGCAGGTGGGGCTGCAGTCTAACTGTATTGCGGCGCAGTGCCCTCAGACACATGCTACCACAGCCATCCTATTTCATACGTCAACTGAATACGTTTCCAGACACAGCTTTTGGACAGAAAGTCAGTGCCAAAAGCTTCCTCTGCATGATCTAACACAGAAAGCCCTCCAGACTGAGCTCTGCCCAGCCTTCAGCCCCTGTTTTATCTATGTGCTGAGGGAAATGCCTCCGTACTGCTCTGCTTGTTGGTTCAACACCTTGCAAGCCTGCGTCCTGCAACCTGCAGAAAAACTGCACTGAGAAGTAATTCTGCTAAAATATGAGAGAGAATACTGGAATTTTATACCCTAGTTAACTCCTTCTTTTTGTGTATTTAACAAATATAAGGAGAAAAGTTGCAGTAATTGGAACATTTTCTCGGAAAATATATTTCTCCATTACAGAAAATCTCCAAGCAGACCATTTACACAAAAAGATTAGTGCGGGTGAGGATGGTTTTTTACCATTTAACTGGGTAATATTATTTCTCAGAAATGGCACGAATTGCACTCGCTCTGCAATCCTATCACAACACAGGCAGCTTTATGGCCTGCTAGGCAATGCTTTTCCTGCTAATAACATTGGGTAAAATGAGAAAGCGTTGTAGTATTGCACACCCTCAAGGACATTTGTCTCATGTTTTCCTGCAGGCCACACTCACTCCCATTTGCTCAGATGCACTGATATGGGTCAGCTTTCCTGTCATGTGCTATGTAGAAGGTGTGCATGTGAACCACACACGTGTGTCAATGCAGACACGTTACGAGCACACAGGAGTTACATAAGCCACGTTAGAACTTTCAGATCTCTTGCCCTTCGGCACCAAATTTGAATGGAACACAGCCACATGCTCCAATGGGACTCCTGACACAGGCAGGAGCTGCTGCCGGCTCCACGAGGGGTTCCAGGATGAGCGGTTCCTGTGAGCTGCTCTGCCACTGCCTGCACTGTAGCAAAGAGGAAAAGTGTGCCTTCAGACAAGAGGAAATGTCTGCTAAGCAAAAAAACCCCAACCAAATCGCCAACAAACAAAAGGATTCCAACACTGAGCTCTTTCCATACTTTGAAACCAGAAGTGCTCCTACGCTATTACAGATGAAGTTCACATTGACCTTTATAGGTGTAAAGTGGTATTGCACTCTAAAAAAAATTCAGGCAGCTTCTTCCCTGATGTACAACTGCAGACATCTTTTTCAGGTGCTTGCCTTTCCCTTTAAAGACAACCAATGCATTTCTATTCCAACTACAGAATCACTACTATGAGTGATAGTGACGATGCGAGTGATGATGAGTGCAATGAATGAGATCTTCTTTCAGCACAAATAAAACCTGTAATATTCTTCACACGTTCTGGATACGGATCCCATGGCTGCTAACAGCTGCAGCTGGACAGGGGGCAGCAGAGCCTGCTGAAGGTAATGAGAACGCACACCAATGCATGAGAAACACTGCTCTGCATGACAACCCGACACAGCTCATCTCTGCCCTGCTCCTCAGAACTAAGAAGGCCACGAGAAGATCCAGTCCCACATGAGACCTCTGGAGCTCCACGGTGCTCCTGATGTCTGTGCTGTTGCAATGACAGCCCTTCCCATGGCTGAGGGACACTGCAGAGCTGCAGGCTGCTCTGAAACGTGTTGTCTGAGGGATGGGACTCACAGGGAGACACTGTCTTAGGAAAGTGAAAGCAAAAAAAGCCCTCAGATGTTCAGTACGAAACAGCACGAGGCTTCTAAAGTGTTAACAGTACATATGTAGTACTGCTGCACGTGTCATCCTGCATTTGAAGCTTTTTATGTAAGCTGATAAACACAGGTACTTATAACTTTTACCCAGAAACAGCAGCACGATGACATTCAGCAGCAAACATTCACCGAGCCACAGTGCCAGGAATGAGCACAGACAGACAGACAGACAGTTCAGCTGTAGCACCACAGCCAGCACAGATCACGGTGCTTCCTTCACCAGGTGCTTGGGTCAGCACTGAGAGGCTTAAAGGCTAAATCACTCTGTGTATGAATGAGAAACAACAGCGCTTGTTTCGGCGGCTGCACACAGGAGAGCTCAGCCTGGCCCTGTTAAGTTGCTATAAAACAAAGAGCAATGCCAAAATGTGTTTCACTTTCAGATCTGGTTCAGGTTTGGAGCTGCAGTGCAGAAATGGAGCAGGCCCAGCTCAGGTACCCTCCTATCAGGAATGGAACCTTGCACACAAATGCAGTGGTATTTCTGTGGCTTTCATCTGTTGACATCACCTTTGCTGAGTGCACATAGCTAGCAATAAACATGCATTTCCAGCATTTTCCCTTTTGTTCTAAGTAATTTCAGGCTGGCAGCTCTCCCTTAGATGCATGCCGGCTGAATCACGATGAAGGCCTTCTCCAGTAATACTTTAGACTAACATAATCCAATTAAAAGGAACTTAATTGGTGTGCAACATTCCCTACAATTTCAACATTTTAAAAATGAATAGTCTCAGTAAGTACCAGATGGTGACATGCACTAATTAATCAGGCCTGCTCCATGAATGAGCGTATTAAAATGAAGGCACCTATTAGACATGTGTTTTCAATGCTGTACGCTGCAAAACCTCCCCTTAAATGAATGCCTACTACATTACTGAGCGACACGTACCACGTGCATTCCATCATTTGGTCTCAAATCAGTGGATATTTGATATAGCTTTCCTTTTTTGCTGTTTCTTTAACTTCGGGTCACTCATGAGAACGGGCCCAGGGTTTTTTTTTTGCCACACAATGAATCACACTGACGAACCTCTGTAAGAAGCAGCAGCCCGCTGTACTGCTGGCAAACGACCCACCAAGCTCTCACCACTGACAGGCACGTCCTCAATCTGAAAAATAAGTGAGGGGAATCCTGCCTGGGCTTCCTCTGCATGAGTGCACCACGAAACCACCACGGCTTTGTGGTTGTACCTGAAGTGCTTGCAGGGATCTGGACAGCCACTGATCATCACAGCACTGTATGTTAAACACAAGACTGAAATCGTTGTTGTTCTTCTCAGACTCTGATATATGTATCTATATACCAAAAGGAATAAAAAACATTTTAAGGAACTTTAGGAAAAAGCCCCAGATGTTCCAACTTCGTGCCCCGTCTCCGGCCTGCTGGCTGCAGGCTTGGGCAGCCAGCACAGATAACTGGCACTGCAGCCATCTGCTAACGAGGCTGCTTTCCCCACGCTGGCAAAACAAAGCACACTAAAAAAAAATCAACCCCAAACCAAAGAACTTTCTCTAATTTTACATCCTTTGTTCAACTTCAAAGGAAAACAGATTCCAAGCGAAGCTAACGGCAACATCTGTTCTGTTCAGGGATTGCAGCACGGAGAGCCTGGCAGACTGAAATCAGGGTCCCCAGCTTACAGGCAGTGCCCAGGAGCACTGTGCTCTGAATGACCTTGCAGCACTTATTAATGAAATTCAGATTAAGCAAAAACTATATAATAAGATGCTGTACAGCATCACAGAGGAGTTTGGATATAAAGGCTAGCGTATCAACATTCAAAGAGCGCACAGGACCTGACAAAAATGAATGAGAATTGAACAACGTAGACTTTGTAGCC